ACATAATAGCATTGTTATTGTGTTACTACACCTTGATAATTGAGAATTGTACGACCATCCAATTTTGTATTTATATAATCAGAATTGAATCTTCCTACGTTATTTATTAGAAAACCTAAAGGATTGAATGCTAAAAAGAGAAGCATAAATCCACAGAGTGTAAGCCTGGTATGATCTCTCATGCCTTGATGATTTGTAAGAACAGATGTTGAATCAACATTTTGTAACATATCCGGATCATCCTTTATAGATGATGGAGATTGAGGAGATAATGGTGCCGCTGCTGGAGATAACGATGGTTCGCTTGAATCTGATCTAGGTGGTGTAAGTTCACCACATACTAATAAATCGCGCAGATTTTGCCTTTGAGCAGCTAATTTTAATGACATATTTTCTGCTTTCAATCTTGCATTAGAATTCTGAAGAAACCTAAAATTTTCATTGATTGGTGAACATTTTCGCCGATTAATAAGCATATAAAAAAATTAAATACATTAATATACCTAATATAATCAATAGTCTTTTTCAAGATAGCTGATTTGTTTAACTTTGCATCTACTCCAACAATAATATTTTTCAATTCGATGATTTTATCATTAATCGATGTTCTGTAACGTCGTTCTATAGCATTATGAGCACTACGTTTTACCTCCTTTACTCTTGGTACTCCTATATGTGTGTTTGTGTTTAATCGATTAATCTGTACTTTATCAGTATCCAATACAACTGGGATACCTAAATAAAAATTAGAATATCACAAATTTAATAAAAATTGAAATAAGTAATAAAAATCCAATGTATCAATAAAGTACATTGCCATTGTTCGTACCAGCAGTTAAAACTGTCCCATTGGCAGTATTCACTAAAGTATGTATTTGATGCGGTACAGAGGTTGAATTTACAGCTTGTGATCCCCTAGAATAAACAACTGATTCTGACTTTATAAGTTTAGCTGGAAGAAGCAACTGTCGCTGTTGTGTCACTGGTGCTATAGTTACAACAGGTGACTGAACACTAAAGTTTACATTTTGCGGAATAGTATATTGCGAGCTAAATACTGTTGGTGCTGGTGTAACAGATATTCTTTGCGTCCTATTCTGTACAGAAGTTATGTCCTGTAATTGCGGTTGCTGTTGCTGCTTTTCTTGTTGCAATTGTCGAGAGACACGAGGAATTTGTTGTGTATTTTCTGTCACTGTTGACGCTAATATTACATTTCCATTTGGTACAGATTTTATAACAGTTGGGTCCTCAAAATCATGAAATTCTTTAAAATCTTTTAGTTCTTTGCTATTGTTGAAACTTAAAAAATCTAGTCCTTCCGTGTCTATTCCTAAAGGCTCTTCCAATTGCGATAATAATGTGTCATCGCTAAATAAATTTTCATTTTTCAACAATTCACTTTCACAGTTTGTAAGAAGCTCTGTAACAAAATAAAATAAAATAATTTAACATATTTATAAAAAAATCACATGTAATAATAAAATTATTAATAAAATAATCTACAATGCTTTACAATCTCATAAACTGTTGCAAATACAATACAATATTTTATTTTATAGTTACATTTTAATATAAAACAACTTATGTTTATGTCATACAGTATCATGTTTCTATTAAAAAAAAAATACATTACACAAAAAATTACAAAAAATTACATAAAAAGATAAAAACAAATAGGAGACGTAAAAAGGTAAAAATAACGTAAAAAAGTCTAGTTTGAAAATAAAGTTTCTATTTCCATTGAGAAAGATAAAATTTAATTTGATAAATATTAAATACAACGTACCATCGATACCAGTTACTTCGTTTAAATTAAAGCTGTCGTTTGATTGAAAATTAGAAAAATCATCTTGTGTTGTAGACCATCCTCCAGGATCTACCATTGTGATAAATGGCAATAAATATTTGGCAAACAATATATCAAATATTTATTTTCATTAAATAAATACAATAATTCGAACAAAACGAGCCACTAATATGTCAAACGTAATAACAAATTACAAAGTCATCCGACCTTTACCGCGTCCAATCACAGGAGCTCTAAAGATCGGATGATATTACGTCACTGTGTGTTACTAAATCTACAAAATGTTTTATAAAATATGGGTGGGTTTTTATGAAAATTACTATTATTGGTATTTTTATCAAATTTTTTTATGTTTGTGAAAGTTTTTCTAAATAACTCTTCGAGTTACTATTGAATTTGTATAATATGTACCTAAATTACATATTATTATTAATTTTGAAATTAAAAACTTTATGATGAATGTCTTAAGATATTCTGTAAATTTTTCAATTATTATATAAACCAAAAATAAAAACAAAAGTTTAGAAAATATATATATATATATAATCTTTTATTAATGTAATAAAATTTTATATTTAGCTGAAATTTTAATTTAAATATCATAAAGTTTTAAAAAACATATCTATTAAACAAACACTCTGTAAGTATTAACTGACATGTTCATTATCGCATGTGATAATGTTTTCTGTTGTGAGATTGACTCTCTTTATTTTGAAAGGTTATTTGAATGTTGGAGACAAATATGTTTCAAACTCTTCATAAGCTAAGTCTAACGAAAATATCTACTGTTTGTAATTTTCATTCCACAGTATGTATTTATTAAATAATATTTTTAATATTTGTTATTATATATTAATTGCTATAAATTTACTAAAGCAGTTGCAATGTGTCAAAGAAAAAACTTTTTCTCAAAAATTAGAGGATGGACCTGATTTACAACATTTTATTGCCTACAAAGACACCTACAAAGACTATGATGGAAAGTTGAAATTAGAAAAAGAGGATAAATCCCGTTTGAGATTACCACCTTGGCTCAAAACAGAAATCCCAATGGGTAAAAATTACGATAGGATAAAGTCACGATTAAGACAATTACAATTAAGCACTGTATGCGAAGAAGCACGATGTCCTAATATTGGAGAATGTTGGGGTGGTGGTACGCATGGAACAGCAACAGCCACTATTATGGTTTGTATTATTAATACAGTGCTAGTTGTTTCTATTTATTTTGTTCTAATTTAATCAACACATGTTGATTGTCACATTGATCACCTGTGATTGATCATGAAGCCTTATCCAAGTTCTTCAAATGTTTGGAATAATTAAAACATAAAGTGCGCTATTAACACTATTAAAAAGTGCACTATTCAATAATCAAAGATTTTAATTATCAAAACATCTTAAGCACGAATGAAGCTGGCTATCGCAATATGTTGACTCTTTTCGTCCAATTTTTAGCATTTTTCAAACCATGATTTGCAAAATTTTTGCATCGGGTATGCTGACCCTTCCTTTCTTTGCATTTCACGATATAATCTTTTTCAAACAGTTATATTTTATGAAGCTGATTGATAATTGTTTTCTTATGCTTATAAGACATTATTTGGAAACTGAATGAAAAACTAATTGAATGCATCAAAGAACTACAATGATCACTCGTGACTATCAGCGAGATAAACACATTATGGATAAAGGCATAATTTTATATAACTATATTTCTTATCTTGTCATTAAATGTTTAGAATAATGAAAATTCTTTTGTGTTGCGCAAGAACGTCGTGTAAATCTGGTGTAGCAATTAACGTGTTAAAAGTGTAGTGATTAGCTAATATGTTTTAATATTAAGATATGAATTTATTTATTATACAATTATATTTCATAATACAAATTTATATTCGGTAATTTTGTTGTTTATTTAGTAATTTTATTATATTTACTAAAATTTATTTATTTATTGCATTATCAAGTTGGATTTTATTTGGTTAATTAGTAATATCATAAAAACATAATAGTTGAAAACAATTTAATATAGTTAATGGGCGATACATGTACTCGTGGTTGTCGTTTTTGTTCTGTAAAAACATCAAGAACACCGTTACCACTAAATCCAGAAGAACCACTAAATACAGCAACTGCAATAACAGAGTGGGGTTTAGATTATATTGTACTTACGTCGGTAGACAGAGATGGTTAAGTATTTTTTATAAATTTTTTTATCTATATATTAAAAATGTTTGTATTTCTTATGTAAAATTATGTGTTGTAATAGATTTAAGTGATGGTGGAGCTAGTCATATTGCGGAAACTGTGAAAGAAATTAAAAAAAGGTACATAATTCACCTTGTTCCATTATTATAACAAGTTACTTTTGTAATTACATATCAACAAACAAACATTTTATATATATATATATATTTCATGTTTTTGCAGAACTAATATTTTAGTGGAATGTTTAGTACCAGATTTTAGAGGAGATGAAAATTGTGTTGCAACAATTGTTAATTCTAATCTTGATGTGTTTGCTCATAATATTGAAACTGTCGAACGTCTAACTCCATTTGTTAGAGACAGACGAGCTCAATATAGGTAAGATATATTGTCTTGTATTTTTTAAAACTTTTCTTGGTAAATTTGTAAATTTATGTATTCTTATGTATTCTTTAGACAATCGCTAAAAATCTTGAAAACAGCAAAAGAATACAAACCAGAATTAATTACGAAATCATCGATAATGTTAGGATTAGGGGAAACTGATGAAGAAATTGTACAAACAATGAAAGACTTGAGAGAAGTAAACGTAGATGCTTTGACACTGGGGCAATATATGCAACCTACAAAGAGACATTTAAAAGTTATTGAATATGTTACACCTGAAAAATTTAAAAAGTGGGAAAATATTGGAAATGAACTAGGATTTTTGTATACTGCAAGTGGCCCATTAGTGCGTTCATCCTACAAGGCTGGAGAATTTTTTTTAACAAATATATTAAAAAAACGTAAAAACAAACAATCTGAAAACCAATAGACATATATACTTTAATCCTATTTGGGAATATTTGTATATTTATGTATAGTAATATAAGTTATTGTAAATTTGTGCACAGAAAATTATTGTTCAATTATAGAAATAATTATAATTGTTAAAAAATGTATTATATATACTGAAAATTAACAAAATTTTATGACTCATGATACTCTATTATTATATCGAATATGATAAAGAAAAATACAATTTTTGAATGTAAAATGCAAATTCATTTTAAATGTAATAATACATAAAATATATTATGAAATATATTACATTGTTTTTAATCTGTATCCATTGCAACTTGTGGTTCTTGTGCACCCTCGTCAGAAGGTGGAGGTTGTGGAGGTTTGGAATCTTGTTCTACATCTGGTTCGGTAGGTTTACTACGTTTGTCATCTTCAATTTGAGATAGATATACAGAAATTGCATCTTCATCAAATATTTTGAAATCTGTACTTTTTCCTACTACTGCGATAGAGACATTCTGTAATAAGATAATTTTACTTGTAATGTACATCACATAAAAATTTCGAAAATACATGAATGAAAGTGATATATTTGTGATAAAAATTGGACACAACATTCACAATTTATTGACTATGAATTTTTTCAAATTTATATAACCATGTCTAAATTTATTTTCTTATATTTATATAATTATATATTTATATTTATATAATTCGTTTGTATATTTCATAAAGGTGACTATTAAGATAAACAAAATATAAAAAGTAAATAAATGTCTTTTACAAGTTTCATTGTTTTAAATATTATATCCACTACTAAATTACCAAAAATTATTTTACTTATTTTGTATTTTAAAACTTAATTTTGTCTTAATGATTACTTTTATATATGTGAAAAAAAATATATCAATTTAAAAACATTCATGAATTTATCATTATATAAAGACTATATTAAATTTTAAAAATCTATTTAAACAGTTATTTTACATAAAAAAAAAATAAAACTGTTTCCTTTTATTTTTCTCACAAATTTATTATTTACTACTTATTGGAAAACACATTGCAACATTCTACGTTAATTTTGTATTAATTTTGTAATTATTATAAAAACTTATTTCATTTACCTTCACTGATAAATCAACTTCATTTGGTAATGTATCTCTTAATGCACGAAGACCATGTTTTATCAGTTCATCGAGATTACACGTTAAAAGATCATTAAGGTGTTTCTCCAAATATGTACGAGCACTCTGAGAACGTGCACCGATAGCCATTGCTTTACAATCAAAATAATTTGATGAAGGACATGTTTGATAAATATGTGGTCCTTGATCCTTTAGAAATATCAATAATATTTAAATTTATTCTTCACCTAGTAAATAGTAATTAATTATTTAACAATTACTTACATCATACCCAGCAATAAGTAAACCTACACCGTATGGTCTTCTGTCGTATCTTTGAGTACATGTTTGCAATTTATTTCCCAGAGATGCAAGTAAACGACTAACAGGTAATAAATCATCGTGAGAATATTTGTAATTCAAACATTCAGTTCGCATATATCGACTATAAACAGATAAATGAAAATTTAAAACTTGATATATTTGTTAGAACAATAATTGTATTGGGTTGTCCCCCGACCCTAATTGGGTTTCTTTCGTTTTATTAATTAATTATCTATGCACAATATTTTATGTTTTACATTATATTATAGAATTATATATGATCCACTCTGACTTACTATTTTTCTCCATTTAGAAGCTTCGTAATGTCATCTTTCCAAAACTTTTGACATTTGCTAGCAAAATATTGTTCGAGGACCATTCTTATGTCATTTATTAAGGCAAATATTTTACTGCAAAGATTTTTTTTTAAATAAAAGGAATAGATAATAATCAGATGAGATAATAGAAAGAAATTAGAAGATAATTCTAAAGAAAATACAGGATGTAGACTAAGATAAAACATTCATATCTCATTAATATCTATTTCTTTCATTAAAAAATTCCTACCATGGCTCGATAAATGACATAAAAATGCATCTTCAACAATATTTTGTTAGCAAATCTCAGAAATTTTGGAAATGGCATTATGAGACTTCAGGAGAGACAGAAAAGTAAAAGATCAGAATTTGATTATGATTCGGTGATATGATCTAAAATATAAAATAGTATGCATATATTATTCACTAATAAAACGAAAAAAGCTTTTGAAACCTGACATTTTTATTAGCAATATGATAAAGTTTATATTTTATTATTTACGATATACCTTAGCATCCTAGCGTCGGCTGTTAAACCTGAAATAGAAATTCCCATATGTTTATCTATGGGGAATATTTTCTTTTGGTGAGCAGATAACTCGGAAGAAGCTCTTTTCAGAGCAATAAGAACCGCATGAGTTTTATTTTTTAATCCTACAGTGGCTGATCCTAATTTTACAGCTTCCATTGCATATTCTACTTGATGTAAACGTCCTTGTGGACTCCAAACTGTAACATCACTATCGTATTGATTCCGAAACTGAAAAATATTTGAAATTTTTAATTGTTATTTAAAATTTTACATTAAACCGTTCTACTACATTTTTATTATTACTACATTTAATAAAAAAAAAAATTATATAAAATGCATACCATCATTGAATATTATTCAACTATAATTATAAAATATTATTTACTATTTAAAGTATTAATTTATTTAATAAATAATAACGTTTAGTTGCAAAATACGTTTAGTCAACAATTTTCAGAAAACAACTGTCATGCAGCGGTATTATGATTAAATATATAATAGAGAGATGACTCGTTTGGTAGTGGATGTCCATCTAGTAAAATTCTTAGTTATTTAATTAATTTAAAATTCCTAGCCAGTTTAAAGAATAAGAAATTCTTATACCATTTTCTAAATTACTATAAATATTTTTGGAATTGTACCGAGTACTTTGGTGTAATTATTAAATGTATATGGTATATTTTGTCTAAAAAATCCTATTAAATGTATTGGTCTTAAAGCTTGTGTTTACGATAAATTGTTAAAAAACTAATAAAAACTAATAAATAAAACTTATATGAGTTAATTATTATTATATAAAATACACAATAAAAATAAGAATATGAATGATGAAAGAAAGAAATAAGTATCGAAATTATCTATGGGTCGATTGTTATCGATTTTTTACATAATAACTATAGAATCGCCGATCTTATATTCTCTTTTCAACGGTCGTGAGTGATTACACTTGTCTGTTGTAAGTATAACAATTTATTTATAAAGAATTTTAGATAGTTTTATGATATTTGCTTCATGTTTCATCTTTCAAATGATAAAATTTTTGATAATTAGTGCTTCATCTTTTTGTTATAACAAAAAATTTGAAATTCAGTTTAAAATTGTTTTCGTTGGCAGATGCATGCACGTTGTACTATGCGTGCATATGTTAAATTTTATTTTATATTTTAATAAAAATTTTTTCATCTAATTATTTTACTTCTTAAAATCTAATTATTTTATTTCTTTAATATTTTTGTTGTCTGTGTTGTTATAAAATTTTGTATACGAAAGTATTGTAATCTTTAGTTAACATAACCTTAATTTCAATTATTATTTGTATAACTATTTCAAGTAAAAAATTTAATGAAAATGTATGTGTTACTTTGGCAGAGTTATTATGACAAACTCAAAGGGATATCGTCGAGGAACAAGGGATTTATTCTCCCGAAAGTTCCGCAAGCATGGAACAATTCCATTGTCCACGTATATGAAAGTATATAAAGTAGGCGATATAGTTGATATCAAAGGTAATGGAGCTGTCCAAAAGGGAATGCCTTATAAAGTCTATCATGGTAAAACTGGACGTGTATTTAATGTAACACCTCATGCTCTTGGTGTCATCGTCAACAAGAGAGTACGTGGACGAATTATTGCCAAAAGAATTAATGTTCGTATTGAACATCTGACTCACTCTAAATGTAGAGAAGATTTTTTGAAACGAGTAAAGGAAAATGAAAGGCTTAGGAAAGAAGCAAAGGAGAAGAACATTAAAGTGCAACTTAAACGGCAACCTGCTGAACCAATGCCTGCACATATTGTATCAGGACGTGAAAATCCAATATCACTTGCACCTATTCCTTATGAATTTATTGCTTAAAATCTCAATAAACATGTTTTGAAAAAATTAATGTCGTCTTTATAAGAATATTGTATATTTCCTATTGAATATAATATTTATACTCCAAATTTTTCTGTCAATCTATCTTTGTAAAAGAGAATATGCTTTTTGTTCATGATTATATTCTCATAGTTATAAAAGAATAATAATAGCTCGTATATTATAAATATTTAAATCGCAGAGATTCGCAATTCTTAAATTCTAGTTATTCATTTTTTTCACACAACGTATACTATAAACTCGAAATTCAGTTAAAACTGTAAATTCAAAAAAAAAACCAACTGAAAGAAAGATAACCAAAAAGTAGAATAAACGTATAAATGAAAAGTGAATACATATAAAATTACTGAAAAATAATACCAGAGAAAAATAAAATTTATCGACTACGGACGAATCAAAATTAAAATACATAATTTTTCCAGAAATTAAAAGATATCTAAAAAAAAAAAATAATTTTTTTTTTAAGGTTGCATTAATGAATAGTCTATGGAGCTAATAACTTTTTCTATATTTTACAAACAAAATATAATCGATTCTATACATATTTTACTTTATAAATAAACTAACATATAATATTTTTAACTTTATACACTGTATGCCAATAAAATACGAAATTATCGTATAGAATTTGTTTAATTTAATTAGTATATGTTTGTGTTAGGTTCTAATTACAATCTATTGATTGATAAAATAAGATATAACCAGTTTCAGAACTTTTCTGAATATCTGATGTAAGTCCATAAAAGTCTTCTATTGTAGATGGATCAATTTTCTAAAATGAAAATTTAATGATATAAATATAAATTATAATTAAAAGCAAATAATTTTTATGATATAAATACCAAGTCTTACATCAACCATATCATCGTCAAAAAGCAACCAAAACCCATGGCTTTTGACTATTGAAATATAATGTCCTCGGTTAGGCCCACTTCCACAATGTATCACAACTGCGACCAAATCATACAATCGATCTGGATTCACTGCATCGTCACTCTTTAAATTGTTATAGAAATAACGTAGATTAGAATATTCAAAGAAATAGAATGAACAAATAAATACGTATGCAAAATACTTACAGTATTGAAGAGTCGAAGTTCTAAGGGAAAAACTACTCTGTGAGAAACTTTTATGTGACGGTTATATTGTTCCACGTATTTAAATCTCTTTAAATGTAATGCCAGTATCATTGGTAATTTTTTAACTCTCATTCGTTTCTACAATGTAAAAGGATTATTAAATTCTTCTAAATTTTAGTATGACAGACTTCCTCTTATTTAGCCATGTTTCAATCAGCCAATGTTTATCAATGTAGAAATAGAATTGTGTGATTTTTCTGTAGCAATAATGACTTTGACGTAAAGCAATCAATCTATCAAACTATTGCATATAAAACTTGTTATCGTTAAACTAGCTTTACAATCCATATTGTTAGAAATACTTATTTCAAAGATTATTTATCAAATAAATGGATAAAGAGGAAGTCTGTAATTGTAAAACACTTTTTCACAAATACTTGAGCCTCTTGATAACTGCTACAATGATCACATTTAAATTTGTTGTCACTACAAAGTGTTTCAGTATTTGAAAAACATCTGAGGCAGTGTGTAATTGAAGTATTTTGATCTACGTCAACTTGTAAATCAAAGAAATCCTCATCTTTGCTAGATACAGTCTCACAATTAAGGCAGCGTGTTTCTGATGTTAAAATTCCTTGAAATATTTCATGAACCCATGTAGGCTCTGGTGGACCAGCGTCACCTGCACCACATTTTCCTCCTGTTGGTTTTTGGCTTTGACTTCTCTCTGCTAAAATGTAAGACATGCAAAATTGATAATATAGGAATATACTATTATATACTTGTATGTATATACATATATATTCAAAGAAATTTGCATACCTAGAATAATTTCATTTATGTGATTTATCAAAAAATTTAGAAATTCATGCGCATCCTGTTGCATGTAGTTATCAAATTCCTCTGTGAAAAATTATATACATACGTTTACATGTGCCATGCATAAACATGTATTTAAATATCAAGTAAAAATAAATAAAATATATAAGTAATATACAAGATCAAATTTTATATTAAATATATATACATTTATATTAACCTTTCTCTTTTCTCAATCTGGCAATAAATTTTTTCGGAGCTATAGATCCAACTTTCTTTTTTTGAGTCGCAATACTGTAGAATAAATCTGCCAAACATGTTAATAACGTTTCTTTGGTTCTCTTATTTCTAGCTTTATATTCTAGAACTTTTTCTCTAAATGGTCGACAAAAATATAAAGCTTGTAGTACAGAATTACTGTAACAGGTATTTCCAAACTATAATGATATAAATATTGATATTAATGATTTTAATATTGAAAATAAAAAAAAAAATTTTACGACTTTTAACCCTTTGTAGTTCTATGTCTAATGTGACTGGACGTTGATTTTATCGAAGCAAACTTGTTTAGACTCCATATTAGTGATATGTTTTACTAATGAGTCTTTCTTGTTTACAATGTGTGTCACTCTATATAATATTTACAATAAGACACGATATGATAAACCTGCCCAAGTACAATGGAAATACCTGCAGACTAAACAGCAAAGGGTTAAATGTTTTGTATCTTGATTTATACTTACATTAACTAATCCAAAATAATGTTCGTTAGGAGGAAACTGATCAGAGCCAATATCTCTTTCCAATTGTGATATATTTGCACCCTGTAATAACAATCGTAAAAACTGGAATAGTAACAATAACAATAATAATAGTAGACAAATATTCTGTAATACAAGTTTTATAAAATTGAATATAGTTCACAATACTTGCACATAAATAAGCTGATTTATTTCTATACTTATTTGACATTCATATTTTTTCTTACATTACGATATTCGTAAAAAAATATAAAATAAATGACGACTGAAAACAAATACAGAGTGAATATGTATGATGGCATTTGTATTGATACGAGAAAACGACAGATAGCTATTGGATATATTCATTGAATATGAAATTCGTTTCAACTTACCATTTTATTATAATTTAACAACTGTTATTGACCACTGACGAGCAAACAGTATGGATTTTAATAACGAAACCTCCATGGTACTCTACTTTACAGATTTGTTGGTTAAACTATTATAATTGCATAATTGTTGAAAATTTTTACAACAGAAATGAGAACAATTGTTTGTCAATGACAATTTACACAATACTTTTAATAGAAAATGTTCACGCGTGTTATTCAACGTCTTTATTAACATATACTTTGAATGGGATTTATCTCGATTAAATTATTAGTTTTCATAAAATAATCAGAAAATACTGACGTGTCCTTAAAAGCATTAAAAAAGGTATTGATGCCTTTGGAAGGTGTCTCTGGATAGAGAACGCTTTTGATACTCTACAAACAATTACTTCGTGATTTGAAAACTCTTTTGAAGAGTGTTTAAATTTGATGATTTTACGATCGTTGGTCTTGCAGTCATTTCGCGCCAACTTTGTTACAATTTTTCATAAAATAACAATTCAATATACGATACGTGCAAAAACATTCGTGTATTTTTTTTCAATTTAATTATAAAATATGGCCTCGTTTTATGTACTGACCATGAATGTTAATTTGAAAAAAATAGGAGACTGATGTTACATATTGAATGTATTACAAATAAGGTTTACGAAAGATAATTGAACATCAAACTATCATTGAATGAGATAAAACGTTGTTATTAATTTCTGTAATGGTTTTCACCAAGTTCACTCTTGTCTACAATTTCTAAAAAACATATATTTACTTAAATATTTTCAAATTTTATTATATCTTAATATGTAAAGAATTTCATTGGCAACATTGTGATCACAGGTAATATATAAATAAATATTTTATATATTTATAAATATCATATTATATGATTTTATAAATCATTTAATAAATATTCGTTTTTCTACAAAATTCACAAAATTGATTAATTCAATTAAATTGCACTATTTCAATATATCTTTTATAAACCATTTCAAAGTTATATTTCTAAAGTATATTGTAATTTGTATAAAGGACTTACTTTTTATATTTGTATAAAGGACTTACTTTTTATATTTATTTTAGGAATAAGAATAAAGGAGTTAGATTTAACATAAGCAACAAAATGGCAACTCGTGCATCTATGCCAAATGTATTGATAGATCCTGGAATTGTAAATTCCTCCCCAGTGTCTTCATCTCCATTGCGACGAAAATCTGTGATTCTACAAAAGTCAAACAATTTTAGCCTGTTAGAAAATGACGATGAGGCGGAACGTTTGGCTCGTCGTCGTAAAATTTCTGACACGTCTTCAACTTTTAAAAGTTCAAATGATAAAAGACGTTCCTTGGGTTTGCTGGTGCATATGCCAGCCTCCCAAATGACAGAACATATATCACAGTGTATAAAACTTGGTACGGAGAATAAAATTAACACCAAAAATGCATTTAGTTTAGAAATGATTGATTTTATGACATATATGATTAAAAAGAAGGATGCCAACATGTCTAATTTACAAGTAGCTAGTACATCTTTAGATGTAAGCACAAAGATTTATGGATTTCGCGTTGACGGTGTACATACAGATATACTTAAAATGATTAGTGGAATGGAAAAGCAATGCAAAGACAATGAAAACCAAAATAATTTAGAAGAAATGGATTGTCAGAAAGCGGCGGAAAATAAGCAAGATAGAAAAAAAATGATACAGAAAAAGAAGAAAAAAAATAAGCAAAAAATATTTGCCACTCTAGAAGCTCTAAAAATTAATGTCGATACTGAAAAACCTTCTTTAATAACTATGGAAGCAGATTTACAAACTACAGATATGCTATATCAGGCTATGTTGCCAAACCATGCGAATTCAAAGTTTTATCCGCATCGTTATAATGACATTTTGGTAGATACAGTAAAGAATATAATCGAGCAAAATGAAGATACAGTATTTAAGATTCCAGAGGTAACAAATTTTTCCAACATGGAGATTTGTCCTCCTTTATTTTATTTTGATTTTCACAGTTGGACCATAAATGAATCAAATAATGAAAGTCCTAAACAAAATAATGAGAGCAGATTTCAATTTGATCTTGATGCAAGTTTGCCACATGAAAATGAACATGTATCTACTGGCATGAATTATTTTGACATTGAGATGACGGAAGAAGAAAATGTAGATAGATGCGCTATGGTACCTAATCAGGTAGAAAATATTGTAGATTTTTGTAAAGTTCTAACCAACACGGTATCAACAAAGGTTTCAGAATATTCTTTTATTCAAAAAATGAATATACACTGGGCTGGTCCATCTCATTGGAAAGCAACTAATTTAAAAAATAGTTTATACAATAATAAATTAAAAAGTCAATTGTGTCGTCAATCAGAAGAAAAAAAGAGAGACAAACTACAGCTACGTTATGATGATGAAACGATTAAAAATGTGAATGCTAAATTTTTACCCAGTCAATCGATTAAATTGCATATTAGGACTGCAAAAATGGAATGGAATGAAGAAATATTAACGTTACCTCCAGATGTGCATTATGATATCATACAAGCTTACAAGTTATATCTTCATACGATAAAACTTAATTCAACGAATTTAACAAATACGAATGTTACTTCTTCGTGTGACGATGCCAAAAATTGTAATTATACAAATGAAAATGATATATCAAGCGATTCTCTTAATGATCATAACACATGCCAACAAAGTGAAGGAAACGATGCAAATGATAATAATACGCAATATGAAGATCAGAGTAACTTACAAATACCTTTCACTGGGGGAAACGATGCAAATGACAATAATACGCAATATGAAGATCAGAGTAACTTACAAATACCTTTCACTGGGGAAAATTTAGTTGCTGTACCAAAACTTACAAATAAACTATCTATTGCATATTGTGTACGTCCCAAAAAAATTGACATGAAGCAGTTGAAATATTCCATTTGGAAATGTTTAAAATGTACAATGCTGGAGGATGTGCAAGAAGATGCAAAAAGGAGAAAGAACATGGAGGAAAACGCACAACGAGATAAAGATAAAATGGATAATAAGAAATATTTCAGTCACGTTTATAAAGCATTGCCAAATCTGTTAACTAAAACAAACATCGAAGCTTTAAGCTTCCCAATTTCTTTTGTATCTTTGTTGCATTTAGCAAATGAAAAAGCATTAAAAATAAATTCTTCTGTCGACGTAGCAGACATTATCGTAGAACAAGACTAAATATATTTGTATTTAACAAAACGATAATTATATGCTAAGGAGAAATTACAATTAATAGTTAAGTAGGAAATATATTTTTAATAAAACAGGTGTATGAATATATTCGTCGAATTTTATATTAATGCAATATTGTCACAAGGCATAGTAAATAAATTATTTTGTAACAAGCCTGGCGTTTAATTATTTTCAATCTATTTGTATTTGAATTTTAACAGTGCATGCAATCTATAGACAATGCCATCTATAGTCTGTTCGTGAGTTGGGTCAATCGAAGTAAATAAAACCACGTGACCAAACTCTCGAAAACAGCTCGAATTCATAATTTCGAGATATGTATTATAAATTAATGTGCATCTACTATACTAATTTGTAATAGCGATGCACCGTCGCTGAAAGTCAGATCTATTGTTTCATTCTACTTCGCAATAAATTTCATTTGTCTTGATTGGTATGGGTTAGTCGAATGGTCGATAGCTTTCGCTTTAAGAACACAGTTCGTCCCTAGATTATAATGTTGGTCAATCTGGAATCGCATTGAATGAAAAATTGATGAGCTGTGAGTATCCGCAGTGCGCGTCGTATGTTGTGTTGTGAGTGTTAATGTTGCAAATAGCTTTCAACTGAAAGTTTATCATATTGGCCTATCGTTCCTGATCACAGCAGAAATGTTTACGCGGAACATTTAAAGTCAATGTGCACACGTTGCGATTCTACGATATAAATGAAAAGGAGCTGCATCTCAATAGAATAAACGTTGTTCCGTCGCGACGGTATAGTTGCGTTGCTAAGAGCGGGAAGCCTTGAATATTATACAATGGCAGATTTTGATGCGATTTACGAAGAAGAAGAAGAAAATGAGCAAAATTTAGAAGAGCATTACGTGACAACGGTACCGGATCCTATAATTATCCGCGGAGCTGGCAACATGACCGTGTAAGAAAAATTCTGTTACCTTTCATATTTTTCGCAATTTTAGGTTCAGTGTCTGATTTCATTCTCGAGAACAAAGAAACTGTGAACTATTTTTATGCTGGACTTGTAATTTCTTTTTTATTCTCAATA